GCCAGTGCTGCCCCAGGGAGAGAGGCCTGGGGATGGGGTGTGGGCGCCAAGACAGTGCGACAGGCCCCTGACCCCTGGAACGCTGGGCCCCGAGCCGAGAGTCAGCGGCGAGACGACGGTAAAAGTTAAATCTTTCTATTTATTTCAAGAAAGGACAAGGGAAGTGGACTTGGACATTTCATATGAAAACAGACAAACAGAAAATAGGACCAGATAGTTCATCACATTCGTGTCGACATTGACGTTTCAAGGCACCTACAGGAAGGAGGCCGGCGGTCGCAGTGCACTTTGGTTTGTGTTGTGGTCGTGGTGGGCGTGTGTGTTGGTTTCCAAACCCTCTGTGGTGGCGAGGCTGGGGTGAGGCCGGTGGCGAGGCCAGGGGTGGCCCCATCCCTCCAACCCCCGGACTGCTTTGCCCTTCAGAGAAAAAGGGGAGACAAGGGCTGGGCGGCCCAGTGGCCTATGGGGCTGCTCCTGCAGGGGAGGAAGGGAAGGGGCCCCAGGGGGGCTGGGGTGCCTGGGCAGGGGTCCCTCGGCAGCGGAAGGGACCTTGGTCACGGGCTTGCGAGAGATGGGGCACCGCCTTCTGTAGGGGAGGGGGGAGGGGGAAGGGGCCCACCCTTCTCCAGGGCCTGGCTGAGGACCCTCCCAGCCTCCTCCCCAGACCACCGGGACGGATCCCGCTCAACGCCAAAGGCCACGCAACAACCTTGACCGGCAAAGGGGTCTGCTGCCGGCGGGTCTTCAAAACATTCCCTCTGCAGTTCACGCCTGGGGTGCTCTCAGCGGACTTCTCCCCTTTGCCTCCCGTTTGCACCCTCCTGGGGACATCCGTAATGAGCGGGCGTCCGCTCCAGCCAGCTGGATCTCCACGTTCACCCCCTGCAGCTCCCCAACCTTCCGCACCGTCGCTCCCCTCTTCTCTCCCTTCCAGAAGACAAACCTCACGTGCAGGGCCATCCAGACCCCTCCCCACGGCTCTCAGCATCTCTGTGAGCTGCAAGGCACCAGGTTCCTCATCCAAAGAACCCCCCACCCACTGCGGTCTGGCGCCCGGCCCTGGACGCCGGGTGGGCGTCTCAGCGGGCACACTGGCCTGCTGGCAGGTGGCGTGCTGGGTCAGGTAGAAAAAAAGCTAAGGCTAGTGCCTGGCTGGTGTGGCTCAGTGATTGAGCGTCGACCTATGAACCAGGAGGTCACGGTTCGATTCCCGGTCGGGGCACATGCCCAGGTTGCGGGCTCCATCCCCAGTGTGGGGCATGCAGGAGGCAGCCAATCAATGATTCTCTCTCATCACTGATGTTTCTCTCCCTCTCTCTTTCTCTCTGAAATCAATAAAAACATATTTTTTAAAAAGAAAAGCTAAGGCTAGTTTCAGGGTTTTGTATCTTATGCTGGGTAGCCAGAACTTTCGGAAACAGGACCAGCCCGAGGTGGGCGGTCGCTGGGACTCTGCAGGCATGTCCCCGGCACAGGGCAGGTGAGCGGCGCCCGGGACTGCCAGCTCCAGGGAGACGAGCGTGCGGCAGCCGCTGCTGCTGTGGCTTTGTCAGCTCGTGCTGCCTTTGTTTTTCTCCATCTTGAGGAGAAAGCTTGGTTAGTTCCTCCAGGGGGCGGCGCAGGGGGTGGGAACTCGATGGGAGGGTCACACAGGTGGGGCACCCAGCCCTCTGCCTGGGGCTCGGCTCAGAGAGGGGGAACCGGCTCAGAGAGGGGGAACCGAGTCAGCCAGGCTGCCTGCGAACGCCGCCCACGGGCTGGATTTCCCCGTCAGGCTCGCAGCTGATGATCGGTGGGTCCAAGGGAGAGCGGAGTGAGATGCTTCAGAGAGGAGGAGCCCTGAGAGGCCCCTCGCGTGCTAGGCTGCCAGGGGGCAGGTGCCAGATTGGGGGGCGGGGGTTGCTAACACGCCTGGGCCCTTTGCGCAGAGCCTGAGGGGGCAAATGTCGGCAGGAGGACAAGGAAGTGAGAGGAGGGTTGGAGAAGAGATCACGGAGCAGCCGTGTGCCAGGCGCTGTGCTGGGCTCAGTGACCCGACACGGACGAGCTCAGGGGCCTGGCACCCTGCCCGAGCAGCCGTCCGCCCTGACAGCTGTAAAAGAGATTTAGGGGCGGTGACAGCGAAGACCTTCCTGCAAGGACTCTCGGGCTCAGCGTTTCCGGCTTTCAGGTGTGGGGGACGGCGTGGGTGGGTGCGCAAGGACGGGGCTCAGGTGCCCTGCTCGCTCGGATGACTGCGGGGCCTCGGGCTGACTCTGCTAGGAAGTGGGGGTGAGCCCCCGCAGCATGCCCACTGCCCGCCCGGCACAAGCAGGGCACCTCGGTAGCACAAGGCCCCGGAAGGGTGGAGGGGGTGACCCCTGTCCAGCGGGAAGCAGGGCAGGAGCTGCGGGGGGCTGAAGGTCTGCCCAGGGGAGAACAGGCGCTTGGCCCCTGCGGCCTCGGGGGTCTGGGCGCGCCTGCAAATCCCATTTATGGTGGGAAAGTGGGCCTGCCCGCAGCCATAATGGAACTTACGAAGCCAGAGACAGACACTGTTAAAAATGCAAAGGGAAAAGGAGAAGGTAGAGGGAGGGGGAATCCAGAGCCTGGGGACCTTTCTCTGAGTGTTTTTAAAGAAGCAGACGTGGATTTTCCAGGCAAGTACTTGGAACATTTCAAAAGAAATGGTAACTGCTTAAAAGGCAGAGCGAACGGTGCCCCAGGCAGCCGTCAGCCTGGCTGGGATGGATGTACCGAGCAGCAGCGCTGAGGGTGTCGAGTTAGGAAAACAGCCGGTGGGACGGCGGTGGGAGCTCGGCATGGCAAGGGCCCTGCAGTGCGAGCAGGCCCAGGAGGCAGCCGGGACCCGCAGGCGAGGCTGGGAGGAGGCCCCAGGTGAGCCAGCCCCAGGGGTGGGCCACCCTCTGAACCCGCTGCCCAGACTCCTGGATGGAGTGGTGATGTCTGTGCCTCCTCTCCCAGGGGACACCGAGGGTCGGAATTTTGTGGCCTCTCTTTTGTAGCACAGGCAGCTCTTTGATGGGGCTGGGGGACGGCCTTGGTCTGGGGTTTTCAGAGGACCAGTCATTCGGAGCAGCACACTCATCCTCTCCATGTCTCCCTTTCAGGGTCCTGGAGATGATAACGTAAAGGGCGGGGGGACCAGGACCTTCTAGTCCAAGAACCAGGAAAATCCCTGCCATACCCTCATCAAGGACTTGAATGCTCCCTGTGACGGAGAGCTCACTGCCTGATCCCTCTGCTAGGCCAGTTTCTCTTCCCTGCCTTCACTTTTCCCTTTACAGTTGGCCCCACACCCCTTTCACTGACTGCAGGGAACGGATGGATCGGAGACCCACCCATCCTGGAACAGAAAGAAGCAGAAAAGCTCATGGCTTGAGTCCTACTCTCTAAGGGACTGGCCTGGCCACTTCCCCTCACTTTGGACCGCTGCGGGCAGACAGAATCTGGGGGGCAGGGGGAGAGGCTCTGCTGGGGGCTGGGACAGCTTCTGAATGACGGTTGTCAGGGCCGAGTAGCCGGCCTTGGCTTAGAGCCAGAGCTCAAAGCCCCGGATGGAGGCAGACTTGGTTTCTCTGAAGGCAATGCTTGAACCCCAGCTTCATCAACCCCGGGCACGCCGAGCGCTCTGGCCTGGGTGGTGTCGGCCGTCAGCTCCCCCAGCAGCTGCCAAGAGGCAGCCCCGGAGCCCGGCTCGTCAAATCCCTGCTACACGCATGGTCACTAGGGGCAGGTTCATAAAACTCGAAAAATCCCCTTTTCCTTCACCTCCAAGGAGTTTAATCTTTCCTAATCAATTTAGCAGACTCGCTTGGTTGTAAATGGTAATGATTTGCATTTTTGAGCCTTTCATCCCTCCTCGGGAAAAAAGGATGCTCCTCTGCCTGCATCCTGGAAGGCTGTGAATTGCTTGTTAGCACTCAGCCTGGCGGTGGTCCAGCGCCAGGTGTCTGCTGCCCATCACCTGCGCCGACCGAATGCAGGAGGGGACCTGGGCTCCTGGGACGCCCACAGCTGACCCTGGCCATGTCCTGGCCCCGAGAGCTCGGTCTGGTCCTTGGGGGCACAGACTGCCGTGCACCCCGAGGCCCCTCCTTCCAGCAGGCGCCCCGGCCCCCTCGCTCCCTGTCTGCCGCATCCCATTTTCCTTGTATTTTTCATAAGCATCAGCCTCAGGTGCCCGGTCCTCCTCCCTGGTGCATTCAGCAGGCGCAGGTTTCCGGAGTGGCGTGGGCTGGCTTTGGGACTCGTGCTGCCATTTTCGGGGGGGGCAGGGCGCCCTCCCCTTGGTCCCCAGCTCCCAGGGGGTGAGGAGGGAGGCTCGGATGCAGCCACAGGCGCGCTGCCCAGCCCCGTCTCCAGGCTCCGATCAGCCTGCTCAGACCCACGGGCGTCCCTCACCTGGCTGTTCCTCCTCTCTGGTCCTCCGTCACCTATTGGACCAACTAGTTCCAGGATGCGCGGAGGGAGGTGGTCTCTGGAGCACCCAGCTTTCCTGGGTGCAGCCAGGCGCCACCTCAGCCCACCCCCACTTGACAGGGGGGAAACAGAAGCTGTGGATTTGCAAAGCACACTTTCCCCGTAGCTCCCTGGGGGGCCCCCCAGCCCTTCCTCCCCCTCTGCCTGGCCTTGGGCTCCCCTTGTTGGGGCTGGGGAGCTTCCCTGGACCCGTCAGGGAGGAAGGAGAGGCACAGGCAGGAGGGGCCTTTATTCAGGCTTTGGGTGGGGAAGCCTGGGCCCCCCAGCCACTGCCATCTTCCCGGCCGCGGTCACCTCCTCTGCCAGCATCACCCAGAGCGAGAAGCCCCTGCCCCAGCTCCTGCCCCCCAGCCCAGCACCGCGGCCCCGGGCAGGGTCGCCCCCTGGTTAGCCACCGGCCTGTTACCATGGAGGCGGTCCAGGAAGCCGGAGCCAATTTCAGGGAGAAGACGGAGGCTTCCTCAGGAGGCCACAGGAAGAGGGACGGAGAGCAGGGAAGAAAAGGAGCTTTTGATGCACGTCATGTCTGTGGAGCCGAGTATGACTAATTAATGGGTTTTATTCTTAGTCATCTCTGAAGCATTCCATACATTGGGCCCAACGCCTGAGCTCAGCTTAGAGGCCTCATTCGCAAAATGCAAATGGCTCTCCCGGCCCTGCTGCCTCCTCTCCTTCCTTTTTTTTTTTTAGGGGGAAATTTAAAGGAAAATTGCCATGTAATAGAAAAGAGAGTCCAATCGCTACATCTAATTACCACGGAGGGTAAACCACTTAACCAAAGACATGTCGTGGGCTTTTTTTTTTTTTTTGCTTTAAACCTGCTTTAAATGCCACAAAATGCACCCGTCCCCGCCGAGGCCAGCAAGGTTGCCCTGGCTGGTTAGAGGCTGCAGGGTCCGGCGGGCCACCCCCCGAAGGCAGATTCAGACAGAAGTGGTGGCCCACCCAGGTCCCAGCTTGTCTTCATGGGCCCTGTGTCCTCACATGCATCCGGGGTGGGGTGGGGTGGGGGCCTGGGACATCCTCCCTCTCGTGGTTACGTGGCCAGCTGCGGGGGAGTTGGATCGGGCAGGAGTGGGGTTTCAGAGTGGACCCGGCTTTAGACCCCTCCCTGGCTTGGGGGGACGTGAGGCAGCAGACATCCCAGTCCCGCTCTCAGACACAACGCTGGGAAGATGTTGGGGTGCTTAGGGCAGAAAAGATGAGGGCGGGCCCCAGGGCGCTGGCTGGGCCAGGTCTCCACGAACTTCTGCGCCTACAGCGGTGGGACGATGCGCGGCGAATCAGGCAGGGCCTGGGCTCTGAGTCCCCGTGTGAGCCCCCGTGTGAGCCCTGCCTGAGCGCTGGTCGTGCAAGAGCCGGAGCAGGAGAGGGACTCCGTCCTGGGGCTGGGCGGGCCAGGCCTGCTTAACGCTCTGGGGAATGTTCCGCACAGGCTGGTCCCAGGCCTGCAAGGCCCTCCCTTACACACAGCCCCATGGACTGGGCCCCCTACTGCCCCCGGTGCCTTCCCAGCCTCGGAGGGATGACCTGACCACTGCCTGGCCTGGGGAGAGGAGGAGGGAGGGCCTTGAGTGGGAGGGGGACTGAGCACGTTGGCATTGGGGACCTGGGGGCTGATAGTGGGGTGTCCAGGGACCAACTTTCCTGGGACACTGGCGGAAGGCAGGAGGGGTGCCTTGAGGGAGGGGACCTCACTTCTGAAACAGCAGAGACCATGGATGCCTGCCCTCCGGCCAGCACCCCACACCCGCACGCACCCTCTCCTCCCGGCCACCCCCTGACGCCCCTCTGCCCCTCCGAGCTGCCGGGAATGGGGACCAGCCTGTGTCTGGAGGCCCCACAGGCCAAAGGGAGGCCACCTTTATACACACGTGGAATTAAGGCTTGGAAAATCTCTCTCCTGACACTGAGAAAACAGGAAAAGGGAAAAAGGTTTGTTTTCGAATGCAAGGTGTCCCTGCCCCTCGGCCCGTCCCTGGGGCTGGGGAGCGGGGAGCCCCACTGGGTGGGACCCTTCTGTCGGCCAGGCCACGGCGAGCCCGGCCGCGTCTCGCCTCCATCTCACGCAGGTCTCGTGTCCGTTCCTGCCCACCCCCTTCCCTGAAGGGCCAGCAGCATCTTTTCATGTCCATCGAACGGTCAGCCCGGGCCCTGGGACGGCTGTCAGTCCCGCCCTCCTGCCTCTGGCTTTTGTCAGAGCAGCTGAGGCCTTTTGAAAAGGCTGGACCCCTTCTCATCCTCCCTGCCCTCCGGCCAATCGCCGCTCCTCTGACACCGCTCTGCCCGGTGCAGGGCACATGGCATGCTGACGGAGGGCGACCCCGTTCCCGAGAGCAGGGACGCAGAGTGAGCAGAACCC